TTTGTGGCCTTATGCCTTGTGATCCTTACAAATTAGTCTCAAATAACAGAGTTCCCTTCCATGTCAAGAAATAAACAGCATAGGTTGAAATATAATTCCCTGACAGTGTTAACGTCCGTAGAGACATCATGCCTGATGATGCACAAAATGCATCACGCACCACTCGTTTTTTAATCACAGCTGACCTGGTTTTTTGCTGTAAATATAAAAGAGACACAAGTGCCATCCAGCTGAGGTTAGACTGGATTGACTGCATGTGTAGGCTACTTTGAACCATAAAAATACTATGATTATAATTGGGAATATTTGAATCAGATGTAGTGAAGGAGAAATAAATAAAGAATATCATACAATAAATACGTAAAAAAAGTATGTAAGATACATTTTTATTTGTCTATTTTGTGTTACTTCATCAAACCCTGTGGCGTCGCTGTGGGTTTCTCAGCACTCTGTTGCAAGGAGCCAAATCTCGCACAAAAGCGCGAGGTTTAGAAATCGCGTTCCTCTTTCAACTAGCCTCCAAGATGGTAGGTGCTATCATGGATCTCTGTGCTCTGAAATGTAGTTAAATCTATGCCCATCCTTGTTCATTCGTACTGCAAATTATCATCTAATGGCGGGTTACTGTACAGACATCTCTTAAGAACATTTACTGTATGATTTGTCCCGTGATTTGTTAACATTATGGGGATTTGTGAGCGATTTACTGTGTGAGAGCTGGGGCCTCGGATGTAGCCGTCAGCTAGCACACACTGTCTGAACTCACATGTGTTGACCGCGTTAACAAAACCTCTACATTGATTATAAATGTGACTATCTAGGTCGCTGTTAAAAACGTTAAAGTGCTCGAGAGTTGTTGCTAGCATCAATTTGTTTTCTTAACGTGCCAAGCGGTTACAATATGCTGGTTATAGCTGAGATGCTAGACAGCATGAAAGCAGGCAGTCTTTAAACTGTGAGTTACAGCTTGTAATGCCACGTTGGAGTAAAAAAGAAAACCGTATAAGAATATTTGTGTAACTATTATAAGATGCTATAGTTTCTAAGTGAATGGCCTGTTGATGTAAAGTAGGTTGTTGTTGGTCAATGTAGCATGGCAGCTAACTCCAAGACCACATCTGTACTGAACTTTTATATGTATTCTAATCGATATTTAATCTTTATTTACAGCCCACCAAAGCGACCAAGACCCGGAAGCTCCGTGGACATGTCAGCCACGGACATGGTCGTATCGGTGAGTTTCAACTTGTTTTTTAAGATGTCTTCGTAGATGTATAACTGTGCTTGAGACACATGGTCAACCTGTGTTAATACCAACCCCACAGGAAAACATAGGAAGCATCCTGGAGGTCGTGGTAATGCTGGTGGTATGCATCACCACAGGATCAACTTCGACAAATAGTAAGTTCTGCAAGACGAGTTGTGCTAAAAACACTATGAAAGACCGATCTTACATCCAGAGCTTTTCTTATTAGTAACATTATGGTTAGAAACTGGACGTTAGACTTTAAGCATAGTTATACAAAAAAAAATGTTTGGGTGACTTTCGTGTGAAGTTTAAATATGTCCAGTATAATCACGTATCATATACCCCAACAACTCATTTGTATGCAATATACTGAACATTTAAGCTGAGTGCACACTAATGTCATATTAATCTAGTGATGTTATGGCAATATTCAATACAATTGTCACATATTATTTATTTCATTCTCCCCTGACTAGTATATAATAAGAATTTGCCCTCTAAACATTTTGTTTACAAATATTGAGGGCACTGCTGAGTTTCTGTCTAGGAGAGAATGGATTAAGAACATTGTTTTGTTGCTATTCAATTTGGTACTCGTCTGCGCTCTGGATTGATCGTTGGTATTATTGTTGTAGAGACTCAGAGTCTCACCCTGACACACATAATTGTCTTGGTGTGCTAGAGTTCTCTTAAAGTGAAGACTGGTCCTATTCACCGACTGGCTCTTTGTAGGCCAGTCACCCACATGGGCAGTTACAAATGTTACTCACTAAATTACATCCGTGTCAACATTATGCCTAGTATCTTTGCTTTATTAACAATCAAGTCTACAGAGATTGATAATAAAAGCACTTCCCTTAAGTAACAGATCTTGCCAACATGTTAACTTCTAAAAAGCTTCCAAACAAAACCAAGTTTTTTAGCTTATGTCCACTTTCCATTTAGGTTTCACAGCAGTTGACCCTTTCTCTCGCCTCCTCTGTTTCTCCTCAGCCATCCTGGGTACTTCGGTAAGGTCGGTATGAGACATTACCATCTGAAGAGAAACACCACCCACTGCCCCACCATCAACTTGGACAAGCTGTGGACTCTGGTGAGCGAGCAGACCAGGATCAACTACGGCAAGAAGCCCGACGGACCCGCTCCCATCATCGATGCTGTGCGCGCTGTAAGTACTGACCCACATCTTCATGAGCATAGTGCCAGAGCAGATGTTTTAGCTGACCCTGGCCTTTGTGGTGTAATCTTTGGGTTCTTTAAGTATTGGCATAGGTGAAAGACAAGTTGAGGTGTAGTTGTAATGGATGTAATTGTTACAACAGCTGTAGAAAAACACATTTGGTGGCAGATGGCTTACATATTGGAGCTAATTCTCAATCAACTGGCCACAGTGTCTAGGAAGACTTCAGTGCCGTTGCTAGATCTAATCATTGGTAACGACTACATTTCAGTTGAAGTAGTGTCATTGGTGTATTTGTGACACGCTTGATGGATAAAGACATAGTCAATAAGAAAGCTTTGCCGGTGTTGAAGTTTGGTCACTGTTATCTGCTTTGTTCAAAATGAAAACAGCGACGCCTGACACCAAGGGAAAGATGTGCTGAAGAAACTAAGTCTTAGATTCACAAATCGTTGTCATTGATACTTTTATGACCAAACTATTGTCATTGTTGGTATATCGCAGCCCAGACTGTAGTGATTTAGGCTACGATAACCAGTGCTGTCTCCACAAAAACCAACCATTAGAAGATGTGTCAAACTTAAGATGTTTTTTTCATTAGCACAACTGTTAATGTTTTGCGGCAGGACATTACATGCATGTTGTGATCGATGGTAGTCCAGTTAATGTCGGGAAGTCCTTATATATTTTATTTTCACAACAATCAATTTGTAAGCGAAAACTCAAGCCGAGTACATTCCAATTTGTATCTAGTGATGATATGGCAGTATTCAATAAAATTGGCACATTTGACTCTTCATGTTCCCCTGACTGGTGTACGTTTTCAAAAAAGTTTCAGTCTAGGAGAGAATGGTTTAAGAACATTGTTTTGTTGCAATTCCATTTGTTACTCATTCGTAAAGGTGATCTGCGCATCGTTGGTAATGTTGTTGTAGAGACTCAGAGTCTCACCCTGACACTCGTGATTGTCTTGGTGTGCTAGAGTTCTCTTAGATTGAAGACTGGTCCTATTCACCGACTGGCTCTTTGTAGGCCAGTCACCCACATGGGCAGTTACAAACTAAATATGACATTTGTCACCATAATATATATCCTTTATTTAACCAGGTAAAAGTCTCTGTGATCTTTTTCAAAATTGACCTGGCCAAGAGGGCCGCATGAACAATGTTACAATGAATGACCACAAAACGATACAGGCAGACGAATACAGTAAAACACAAAAGAAACTTGCACAATTTTAAACCGACTAATGCCCTGTGTGCTGTTTTTCTGATGAGGAAATGGTTCATAATCTTGCCAGATAAAATGGCCTCTGTGCTCATGGGATTATCTAGTTGTATTAATGTCTATATTCTTTTCTTACAGGGCTACTACAAAGTCCTGGGTAAGGGCAAGCTGCCCAAACAGCCCGTGATCGTGAAGGCAAAGTTCTTCAGCCGACGGGCCGAGGAGAAGATCAAGGCAGCTGGAGGAGCCTGTGTGCTGATGGCATAATGTTCCTGTCAGTGTGTTTTTGGAAAAATAAACTGTATAAAAAGAACTTCACGTTTTTATGTCTGATTTAAATGACTGATTTTGAGCTTTTGTTCTTTGAAAATGGCAGCATCTGTGGCATGTTCTAATTAAGTGGTTATTTGATGATCGTTTCAATAATTATTACATTGGGATAAGTGCGTTGTTGCTGGCACCACTTGAGCAAGAATCCACCGTAAATATGACTGCAGTTAGCTGTTTTTTTTTATCAATGTATTCAGCACAGTTAGAAATGCGCTTCTACTTCCTGGTTGTCTTTAAAGTTTTGCAGGATTGAAAATGCAAATGATCACAGGACTCAAAGAAATAACTAACGTAACAAAATCAATATACTCTTAAACTTTAGAGTAATACTTATGGTATTTTATTTTCAGATGCGAATTAACCTCAGTTAAACTTGTGATTGCAATCAGTGATGGATGTATTCAAATCATTACCCTAAAATTGCAATACTACAGTAAAGAAGTAATCTATTACACGTAACAGCCATGCATTCAGAGTCTAATGCTAATAAAATATTGGCACTGTTATCACAAATACAAAAAAAGTACTGATAAAAAAAATAGAAGCCGTCTTATATGTCAGTGGTCAGAGCTGACTCAACAACCAGTGGGGTTGTGGGTACGAATCCTGAGACTGGTAAACTGTTTCTCCAGTCAAATCTGTGGCCAAACTCGTATCTTAACCCAAAATAATGGGAAAGATATATGCTCTTCCAGATTAAGCATTATGCAATTTGTAAACTAATGTTTTGCAAATGCATTCATATCGTCAAAAATTAAAAAGTATGAATGTTTTATCCATTGGTTCAAATCCCACTGAGGCAGTGGGGTCTTCCAACACTGTATCTGGATACTGACTTCTCTGAAACGTAGACATTGCCTATAAAGTGGCATCAATTAAAAGTACTCAAGTAAAATACAAGTATGTGTTACCACCATAGACTGTTACTACTTATTCAAATCAGTAAAAGGTGAAACATCTCCACGTAACATTACGTACGGTGGGGGCGGGGCTTAACATGCAGGATTTCCTGTCCTGTCACTTGAAAACATCACGGCTGTGTGCGAGGCGAGCTGAATTTCTCAAGCTACATCAGCATAACGCGAGGAATACGAGCATAACACTGAATCTAAAAAAACACAGTTAACTCTTTATATGTTATGGACTTGTTGCTGACCGCCCAGCTCTGAGTGCGTAAGGTAAACACGTTAATAATCCTTCCTAACCCGCCACTTGTTGACGCAGCGCCTATAACCCTCACGTTGTTGTCACGTATGGAATGGAATCATGGAATGAGACGTGGAATTCTGTGAAGTTTCGTTGTTTCAGTTGATTCAGTTGATTCAGTTGATTCAGTGAAGCGACTGTTGACTGTTTAAAAGAGAAAGTAAGTAACTGGTGAGAAAAAGAAACAAACATTCTGAGTGGGGGGCGGGACTTTGAGGTAATCTTCATGCATGCGCTGTGACCCAGATGCGTTTACTTGCAATGTATAATAACATGTGGAATTGGTGTGTGACGGTTATACTTTTGTTATTTTGAACCACAGTTGTAAAAAAAAAAAAAGGGGATGTACCTTCATATCTTTCTTTGCCCGTCCAAAACAAACCCCCCATATAGTATAGAGTTGCTTAAAACTGTCTTTATCAAATTTGGGTAGCAACCATTTTTGTTATCATTTAATCTGCCAGTCACTGTTTTGTTTAAAAAATAATGATGATTGTCTGTAAAATGTCCATAGGGAAAATGTTCATCTCATGTGTAAGAGCCTGAGGGAAGTATTCAGCTTGATATCAAAGCATACTAATTAAAAGAGGTAAATACGTTTTGTCATGTTTGATTAAGAAATGGTGGATTATAAAACTGTCACAGATTTGTATTTGTCAACCCAGTAAGTAATCCCTACAGTTCTATATTAAATTAGTACAAAAGACAAGAATATCTGTAATAAAAACCCTCTTCTTAATGTGTGTACTTAAGGAAAGAGGTCTCTGTGCTTGTTCCTCCTCTCAGGTGAGGGGCACCTTATAGGTTAACTATCCGTTCATGGAAAGCCACGCCTGGCTGGAGTCGTCTTTGCGGCGCTCTGCCAGTCTGGGTCTGGAGGTTCTGCAGCGAGCCTCCAGGAGAAGCGTCGACTGGAGCAGCGTGGAAGCTTCCCAGACCCCCACCACCACAGAGGAAGACACACAGATCCCTATCAAGGTGCCTGTTTTATACTAACCCCACTATCAATTACATGTATGATCTTAACTTCACGTGTTGTGCCTTAATTCTCATGCTCTTTTCCAGAGACCACGCTCAGAGCTTGATGATGTCTTTGCAACCATCGCAGACTTCATGGCCCAGACAACACATCAGTGCAAGGTCAGGGATTATTTAGGCTGCAATTGATATGCTTTCAGCCACAAGCACAGGGAGTGAAATGTGAATATTTTCTGTGCTGCAGAGGTTTTATGAGTCTGGCTCCTGCACTGAGCCCTCTGACACTGAGAGGAGCCATGTGTGCAGGTTTCACTCACAGCCAGCTGCTGGGATTAAAACACCTGCACGGTCGGCTAGAAAACACGAGAGGGCACCACAGAACCAGGTAACAAGAATGTGATGCTGTTTCTCTTAGTATATAAAGCATTTATCTGTCAAAAGAGACTCAAAGGAATAAAACCGTGTCAATGTAGCAGTTATGGCTAATGCCCATAGCTGACTTGTCGGTATTTTAGACTTGGTTTGGAGAGAGAAATGTTGGGATCCTTAGTTTGTTAATGTTCAATGTTCTTAACCAGGTCAGTGTTAGCAGTTTGAACTTCCCTCACTAATTTACAGGTTCATATTTGTATTTTTTGCCTCTACTGTGACATGTCTCCATGCTTTCATGTGTGTTAATTTACATACTCAAAAACCTATATAATACACTACAGGAAAGGGAAATATCCAAAAAGAGATTGCAGGGCCTCTTTTAAAATTCAAAGTCTTGTTTTGTTCAGGGTCGTGGCTCTGCAGTCGGTGAAGATTTCTTCATCGACGTTTCCCCGGGGACGTACGCTGTCACTGCCTCCATGCCGGAGTCACAGCAGCAGACTCGGATGATCAGTGTCCGAGCCGGAGAGAGCGTCGACCTCACCTTTAACCTCTGACCCCTCTCCTTTAACCTCCAATACTAAAACTGACTGTGTGTGTGTGTGTGTGTGTGTGTGTGTGTGTGTGTGTGTGTGTGTGTGTGTGTGGTGTGTGTGTGTGTGTGTGTGTGTGTGTGTGTGTGTGTGTGTGTGTGTGTGTGTGTGTGTGTGTGTGTGTGTGTGTGTTGTGTGTGTGTGTGTGTGTGTGTGTGTGTGTGTGTGTGTGTGTGTGTTGTGTGTGTGTGTGTGTGTGTGTGTGTGTGTGTGTGTGTGTGTGTGTGTGTGGTGTGTGTGTGTGTGTGTGTGTGTGTGTGTGTGTGTGTGTGTGTGTGTGTGTGTGTGTGTGTGTGTGTGTGTGTGTGTGTGTGTGTGTGTGTGTGTTGCTTTTACACTGCATTAAGAGTTTACATTTTATATTGAATTAATTCTACAAAATGTTGTATTTGCTGCACATGGAGAAGCCATATTTGTATTGCTATTTATTATTTTATTATGTAGTTTGTGTTTCCATATTCTACTTTTAAACATCATGTACAGCTCTTTTCATATTTTATTTCCACATCAGTGTATACAAATAAAGTAACCAATTTCTTATCTTTATATACAGCTACATTAGGCGCTTTCACACCAACTACTTTGTCGTACTTAGTTAATCAGAATTTAGTTAATCAGAACTCAGATCGCGTTCACACCACTGACTGTATATATAAAGGTTCACGCTCTCACGCTGCCCAAACTATTCTCACGCCAAAAACAAGAATACCGAAGACTAGAAACGGTTTTGAAAACGTTTGTCACGTAGTGATCGTCTTCGCAATAGAACATCTTTGATAATGTCTCCTGGCCAATCAGAATCAAGATAACGGCGTGGTGTTGTTGCAGGAAGTCCCGACGGAGGATACTTTTGCTGTAGTACATCTCTATACGTCGATACAATATTACGTGTTGATAGAAATCAACACGTAATTAAATAAGACCCCACGGTTTGATGATTGATAGGTGTGTGGGCTGTCTTTCATTTTGACACACAGAACAATGGGGGCTATCCACAATGTAAAGTAATTCACACAGCCTCTTCTCTCTGTGAGGAGCAGCAGATTCAGCTTTCAAAACAAAGTAACGAAAAACTAAAATGGCATTCATTTTTTAAATATGTCGTGTAGTAATAGATGTATTTATTTTCTTCTCAAGAGAGTACCAGAATGTGTATTTTATGTTAGTATTTCAAAAAATGTCCTGGGTTAGAATCCCCCCAGACCCCCCTGCAGGGGTTGGGTTTTTAGCAAGTCAACTCTTTCACCTGTGGGGAAATTGCAGTATGGAGAGGCGAAGTCCCTCCCCTTCCGAAAGCCTCCATGGGACCCCGGAAGCGGAAAATTATACATTGAAGTCAATGGAGAGAGAAAGGTTATCTTTTGATCCCGTTTGAATTGTGCCACGAATGACACATATGATGTTTGTCAATTTAATAGAACATTTTGCAAGTCAAAAAAATAAAAATGTGTTGTAAAACTGTGAAGTTACACATTTTTTTGTGTGAAACCGCTCAGTGAACTACAGGTCTCTGGTCTCGCACAATACGCGTCACCAACATAAAGATGGCCGTCACGTTAGCACATTTCACCACATTCTTTCAGAATGAGAATAAAATTATTTTACGAGGTGAAAATCACTACAAGTCTGGGCACGTTGAGAGCTGTACCTATATGAAAGGGGAGTTAGTCGGTTCTGCAAGAGCCAGCATGCGGGACCGGCTTTACAAGGTTTCGGTGAGTAATATGAGTGCAATGTTTAACGTTAATGTCAGCTAGCTAACATTAGCTAACAAGGTACACTAACGTGTTTTGTTTTAGCAACTAGTTTTCTCCTTAAGAACTTCGTGGTCTCTGTGTATGCTGTGGATAACATTAGTGTTCACAAGAACAAGGTACACGCCCGTGTTTTGTTTTAGTTGCTCTTCAGATTGAAGCGGCCAGTTTTATATCGACTATACTGTATGTGTGATCTCCTTTTTCTCGTTGTGTCATTTGAGTTTATTTGCTGTGTGTAGATTCAAGGATTTTGGTTATCTAGGCACAGCTGTGTGTGACTCCCTCTGGTACACTGGTATGTGTTTTCCTAATGTAGAGAGCATTGATTAATTAATAAACTACACACTGAGTCTAGATCCTGACCAAATCCTTTTTTATTGTTGATCAAATGTTTTTCAAAAATGTATTCATACACATTTAGAAAAATACAATGTACAATCACAACCAATACAACACAAATTACAAAAAATACAGAAAGAACAAACGATAACAATCAGACAAGAGGACAAAACTATGGAAAAATAAACCCTCCCAGATCCGGACCATCCTTGTATTATTGCTCATTCAATCTATTATAGCATGCTAACAAATGGTACTTACTTTATTTGTACAGATCTGCATGGGAGACGATGGCGCGATGCAGAGCGCTGTCTGTGATTGTGCACAGGAGATGTACAAATGCAGCCACGCTGCAGCATTGGCAATATTTTCCATGTGGCAGATCAGCTCCACAGATGTTGAGTGCCAGTGGAGGAAGCCTGGCACTTCCAAAGTAGTCCAGCCGGTGTCTCAACTTTACCAACAGCGAGAGGAGACATACAACCCACTGGCCAGAGACATCGCCAACTGTCAACTGGGGGGTTGTAAACGAAGCCGAAGGGGTGAAGGCTTTTGTGGAGGCTTTTGTGGAGGCCTATCAAGTGACAGTGTTCAAATCGAGTCTGGTCTCTTTGTGAGTGAGTCGGGTGTTTTGGGAGCATCACCCGATGGACTTGTGCAGCCATCTGCCCTGCTGGAGGTGAAGTGTCCACACAGCCAGAGGAACATGACCATCGCGGAGGCAGTCCAGTTACCATCCTTCTGTCTCCGTGAGGAGGGTGGGTCATATATTCTCAAGGAGAATCACCCATACTGGCATCAGGTCCAAGGGCAGCTGCATATCACAGACCGGAGTCTCTGCTACTTTGTTGTGTGGACCACGAAGGAGGCGATCATCATCCCCATCCCCAAAGACCCTGCATGGCATGGAAATCTCCTCCTCCTGGAACAATTCTACACCCAGCATATGTGTTGGCCAGTAGAGAGGAGGACATTTAAATAAACATACTCTTAACACCCTCGGACTCTGCGTTGTGTTTCGTATGTGTGATGGGGTGTTATGCAGGGGGGAGGAAAACAGGACACAGCAGATTGGGATTGTGGTGGAGATGCTGAGCAGTTATTTAATTGTTGCATGTAATTATTATTATTATACTGCGTGCTTCTGAGTTTTTCCATCTTTTGCTGTAACATGGATCTGTATGTAACTCTATATTTACTTGTTATCTACCACACTTCCTTCTACATCATACACCATCATTATACATGATGGTGTATATAGGATATATATATTTGTATACATATCTGTAAATTGTATAATTTTATTTAAACGTCTTTTTGATCTCTCTGTCTATAAACACAAACTGAGTAAGATTGACAATAAAGTTGACTTTGAAAAATATATATATTCTTTATGAAAATAGTTGACTGTTGTCAAATGAATCCAAATGAAACGTTGGACTGAACTACAACTACGCCTTTAAATCTCTACGGACTGTTTTTCAGTGGGATGGCAAGTTCCTATCTTTAAACATTTATTAGTTTTTTCTCAGAACAGATTTGATTTTCTGAAGTTAATTTAACTTTGCCGACCATGTAAGGTCATTATTAAAAGGTACAATCAATTTGTTTAGGGTTGACTAAAATAATGAAAAACATTCATTTGGATAATTTACTGACAGAATAATAAACTCAATGATGCTCTACTCACCTGTTCCCTTTTTATAAAGTGAAACAGTTGAAACGATAGATTTTTAGTAAACTTAAAAACAACCTTCTCCAAAAGCTATCAAAGAATATACCGAATACTTGTTTTAGAACTTTATTACATATTTTTATATAAATAGTTTGAATGATCCATAATTGACAGAAGCTTGTGTTTACACTGACCTGTTACTCATATATTAATGTCTTTGTAACTTCAGTAAACCACTACCTCACTCATTTCTTTCATTCATCACGGTTCAGTAAACTAAGTGATACATGAACCAGTTTAATCATTATAATAACGTAGGATTGCAACTCTTTGAAAATGTAGGTGGCTCTTAAAAGAGCCGTTGTGTTTGGGTGTGCTGGTCTCAGGTCAGTCTAAGCCCTCTCTCCGCGGATGCGGCGGGCCAGCTGGATGTCCTTGGGCATGATGGTGACCCTCTTTGCTTGGTTCATCTTACTGGGGGGCAGCTACATGGATGTCGGTGCAGTCCACAATCATTGCGCAGTTGAAGGCAGAATGAATTTATTATTGACTCCGAATGAAGCACAACTTCATGTCATACAATACAATGACTTTATTTGTAATTGTGTAAAAAAACATGAGCATTGATTAGCAAGCAGGACCTGCAGGAACAGAGAATGGTGATGGATGGAGCTGGGAAGAGAGAAGAATAAAGAAAACAGATCAACTTTATTATCGGATATTAAAAATTCAATTTCAAAACAAGTTGCCGCTCCTACAGTTTTCTAGTATGTAAAGATGATTTCACATGACCTATGCAAAATATCACACTCAATACATGTGTGTCTCTGGGGGGTGCATTGTGCCTTTGATGTATATAAATAATATACCATAACCAAATACTATTACGTACAGTGGAAATCAGGTTGCCAGAGCAGGACAGTGTGCATGTTCCTCAACGTCTCAGCAGTTACAGGTGAGGTAAAGAAAATAAAAGAGAAAAAGGTCAGTAACAACACTTTAAAGTAACAACACTTTGAATAATTATCTCTTCTAACAATTTTCTCTCAATAAGCACACAACGACTGTCTTTCCAACAAACAGATTGTCATCACAATGAAACACGTCCAGAAGAATGTCATGCAAAGCTCCCTGCCTGCCTTCGACTCTCCCTGAACTGCTTCCTTAGCACCCGATGGAGGGCGCAGTAGGCTACTCTTCAAATGTTTCACGAAATACTTACCATCATGTTTGGTTACTGTTTAACATTTTGGTTTACTTCATGTAATAAAATAATAACTTCATGGTAAGGCTACTAA